TCCCCAAGGATGGAGCTGAACTGCAGCGCCTGCCATCCTCGGAGCCTTGTCTAGGCACAGCATATCTCCTCGGCACAGGAGCCTGTTGAGGCTCATGGACACCGTGTCAACACATCAACAAAAGTACTTCCAGCTGCCAGAGCAGAACCTGCTCCTGAGCAGCTCCGGTCACCACCCCGCTCCCTCCAACATTGCCATTTTTCCTCTTCCAGGATAGATTTACCCATGTGGGGATAAAGATACCAACTTTGCAAAAAAACATGCTGCATTTGTGCATGCTGAATGACATCACCAAAAACCTCAAAGCAGAGCAGTGTGATGCAATAGCTTGCCTTTTTTTTTTTTGCTTTTTGTTGTGCTGGCAGAATCAGAGCTGTCAGTGCTGGTGTCGGGGAGACTGAGCTGGTCCCAGCCACGCTTCTGCTTCAGGGGAAATGGGGCCAGAGAGCTGCTGGCAGGCCCTGGGAAAATATTAGAGAAGGAAGTGAAAAAATTTCCCTCATCCCCCATGTCGCTGATGGATGGAGTATTCTTTTTTTTTTTTTTTAAATTTTTGCTAATTTGTGGAATTTAGCAGTTCTCACGGTGCCCTGCAGACTGATAAAATGTCACCAGACATCAGAGGTCTTGGTGCAGCGAAGAAGTGCAACTAATATGGGGAGGAAAAAAAAAAAGCCACAAAAATGAAAGGTTAGAGGTATGAGAGCAAGAAGGAAAAGATTTGTGGGAGAGATGGTCTTCTGGGGAGTGGGAAGGAGGCAGAGAGCGCTATCGACTGTTTTTATAAAGGCAGCACAAATCACAGATAAGTGCCATGTCGTGTATATTCTCCAAGGGATATTTTGCTGCTGTTCAGCACTGCAAACAATAAGGAAAAAAAAAAAATAAATCCAGCTAGACAACAAAAAGCTGCAAAAATTTAACACAGCAGCAGCAGGATGCGTCTTCCTTGGGCTCCCTTTAAAATTGCACAAACACCATTCACACCGTGGGAGGTTTCAAAAGGAAGAAAAATGGGAGAGGGCTGGGGGCAGAGCACGGGGCTCACCCGCTGTGTCCCGCTGCCTGGGAAGGAGGGCAGAGTCCTCCTAAGCACACACGTCATTTGAAACACCTGTTCCCAAAATAACGACGGATAAATGATAGATCCGGGGCACGCATGGCGTACGTCTCCCTGGGCGTCAGCTTTGGAACCGACGCAGGAACAGCTCCATCGCGCTGCGCTCACAGCCCCTGCGTGCTGCCGTTTGTTTTGGGGAACAGGGAAGAGAAGCCTTGGTGCCGTTATCACCGAGCAAAAGTGGTGGGATTTAGCGATTAAATCAGGAGATGGGGCTCCTGCCTGGGCTGGGAGATAACGGCTCGCTGCTCTGATACAGCCTGACCAGAGGAGGGCTTTATTTCTTGCACCTCTGCTGTAAATACATTCATACTTATTTGCTTACAGTGACTCTCAGAGATGCCAAAAGTCCTCCCAGCTTGCACTTCCACACTCGAAAGCTTTCAAAGACAATATTCCCCGATAGTTGCCTCACTTTTAATACAAGCACAGTCCTGGGCTGATCTCACAGCAAGTTTCATCCAAGAACGATGGGAAGGAAACACCGTGGAGCCCAAATAACTGCATTTACCAAAGAGATGCAACACCCAAGGCTCGTCCACACCTCCAGCTTGCTGCTCAGGGCAGGTCTGACAGAGAAAAGCAGAAAAAGAGTGGTGAATTCTTGAGCGAAAGAGAGAAAGGGAGAGAGACTTTTATCATTGCATCCTGCCCTGAGTCCAAAGCAGACAAGTACATCCCGGCAGGAAGCAGATGTACTTGCACCCTCAAGTGTTTCAACAGCTCTGACAATCCTCTCCCATGTGAAACGAAGGATTTGGCTCTTCCTACGCTCACACTGAGCCATTTCCCAGAAGGTGCCGCCCTACGGGAAGGGGAGAGCTGTCACTGACAGCCCGTGCAAACGCTCCCTCAAGCTTTCCACCTCTGGCTTTGCTAACGAGCCTCCTTTTCAGCGTTCTTATTTAATGGTTCTCTCAGCTCCAGAGAAGCCAAGACGTGTTCCCAGGAGGGACATCTCGAGATGTGCAGGGGAGATGTCCAGATTATTTTTTTTCCCCGAGGAATTAGGAGGCAGCATCTAAAGAAGAACCTGGCAGCTCTGGGGCAGAGAAGCACGTCCTGCCCCTTGGCAGCCTGCAGGCAGCCTCACTGACGAGGGGAGAGGCTGGCACAAAGCTGTAGGCGTTAGGACACCCCTTCACCCCTTCTCTGGAGGGGAACATGCCACTTCCCAGCTCCTTACAGATCCCATTTGATCCATCAGTATGACCATGACAAGCACAGATCCTCTGGCTCAGCTGTTCTTCTCCCTGACTCCCTCAGAGCTGCATTTTCTAGTTGCTGCCTCAAAATGAGCAGCGTTTACTGCAGGGTGTCTCATCCCTCTTGGCACTTGGGTGCCAGCATGGTAAAAGGAGCTGGAATCGATTCTCGGCTCATGTATCATCAACTATCCTCCCCACACCGTTTTTGTTAATAAGGAGCCAAAAATCAAAGTAGGGAGTATGTGAATGTCCAGATAGAGTCATTCAGAGGGAAACAGCGAAGCATCTCCTGTGATTTGTTGTCCATCGACACCAAGCACTGGAAAATAAACCCATTTGCCATCATTTATATCGGTCATTGGGGTGACGCTAGCAGCAGGGAGCGGGGTTGGGCGTCAGAGTCAACGCCTCTCAATTGCCTCATTCCTTTTCTCTCTCACACTTCAATTTCCATTTAATCACGGATGCATTAGAGAGTGATCCCTATTACCGTCTCGCTGGCATGTAAAACTGAGCCCGATGCGGTGGGGGACGGGAGGCAGGGACGGTGCAGCGCAGCCGCTCGAACAAACCTCCCCCCATGGCCAGTGCCAGATCCGGGCTCCCAGGAGAAAGGTTTTTCAAGGACACAAAGAGGAGCTGGCTTGGTTTTCAGCAAGGATTTAGTCCCCAGTGACCTTTACTGATTGTGTTATGCCTCCTACAGCTGCAAAGGTGATGCTGTTTGGTTTCCAAGGGGAGTCGTATTTTAAATTAAATGAACATAGCCCCAAAGATTTCCAAGAAATAGGACCTGAGAACTGTTCCTGCTCCTTCGATCACAGTGTGCCTTCTGGTAGTACTCCAGGAAACAATAAAGGCAGTCTGCAAGGTAATCTGCAGTCCTCATAATGATTTTTTTTTGTCTTGAAGGCATAGCTTCTGATGGGAATTGCACAAGGCCCTCGTAGGGGCTGATCCCTTCGGAAAATGAAATGAATATTGGTGTTGTTCCTAGTGCAGTTCACCCAGATCTAGGAGTAAGCTGAAATCCCTACCTAATATATAT